AATGATGATGAGCTATGAGACATCATCTTGTTTACAAGCTCCGTTCAACAAGGCGCCGACATGGGGCGAACGTCGTCGGATTGGGCTTCATTGGTTCTTTTAGTTGATTTTGTATCAAAATCAGAGACACGCATGTTTACAAGAACGTAGACGTGCATTCTGTTGTTCGAATAGGAAAAACAGTGAACTGCCGACAAGTCTGCTTCGAAGGGCCACCATTGGGTGGATAATTATGTCAATAGGTATGCTTCGTTTTTTACCGTATAGAGTTATGAAATTTATTTGCTGTCGCTGTTATCAACATTGTAATCAGTTTTTTTTTCATAGATGATAACAAAAATTATCGTCTTCGCTCTGGTTTGCCAAGGCAAAAGCGTTTCTGTTCTAATTACACTTGCGCGCATACATGTTTAACTCCGTCTAAGTCTGTTTTTAAGTCCGCTCAGCCTTAGACGGCATTGGATCCTGCGACAAGACCAAATAAACACAAATGGCGTACTACCTCAATCTAGATTTGCTTGCGTTTTTTGTCAGCGTTATGCTGATAGGACTCAGCCTCGAGCTCTTGTGAATGAGATGTCAAGGCTGTCACAGCACTAACAATACAGAACCCAGCAGACGTCTCCTTGTAACGTAGACCCGAAAGGAGACCAAAACGCATTATGAGTCTGCCACGTTACGGAGCCATAGCTGTCTACAAATCTATCAATGCTTCATGCTTGCTATAGTCTTCGTTATTCGTGGATATTGCTTGTCAGGTCTGACTACCAGGCCATTAGACTCAATTTAATCGAATTCAATAATTTCACCTGCGTTTGTCTAAGTTATATTATATAAGTGGCGATCGGCGCCATTACGGAAAGCCAGGGCGAAACTATTCGCCAAAAGAAAGACGGTAAATGTTGCGTCCACCGTTTAGAAGCAGGACTGTGTTTGCGACCTGGCTACCACCAGCCGGCCCGACAGCCCGTGATAATCCTGTACACGAGCGATATCCAGATAGGGGCTACCGCGAACCAGATCGCTGGAGAAATAAACGGGCCTAGGCCGGCGCAGCAAATCGACTCGTCATGGCCGTTATGGCCGCATTAGTCTAATTATATTGCGCTGGAGTTTCGTAAAGCGGAGTGATCGATTCTACGTAGCGAAACACGTAAGTAGTGAGGGCGCCACTGTCGGCACCGTGTCGCATGTTTGTGTGGTGTGCATTTTGGCGGATATTGTCCCGTGGAGTAACCGGAAGTTGTTACGGTACGAAGCACACAGAAATGATGGAGGTCTTTGCTCGCTGATGAACGGCGCAGGTTAAATACGAGAAAAGGGAAGAACAAACGAAGGCGCTATTGCGCGTAGGTTGGCAATGAAGACGCTCATCAAGCGGAATTTCGAAAAAAAAACGTGCTTTGTAATAGCAATCAAACCAACTGAACTGGTGGCAGTATTAATAATAATCGCAATGATAAGTGTATTATAGCAAAAGTACGTTTATTACGTAAATTCGAAATACAGCGTCGAGTGCGGTCTCCCATCTAGCGAGTGGATATCATTGTTCCATATCGCAGACAATAAATAAAAATGTCGATTGTGAATTTCCATTGCTGCGGTAGTAGTATATCGTATGATCATCATTCTCGGTCGGAACGAGGCGATCATTGAACGGGTTCTATCAACCACAGTATGAACGCGCGTTGATACCGTCACAAAGTGGGGCAGCATATTCGAAATTTATTGCACCTTAGACAAAAAAAAAACAGCGAATCGTACTCTGTTCAAGAAACTGTTTGCAAGATCAACAGTAACATTAGCGCGTTAGGATAACAATGGATAGATATTGTATTTTAATGGTTTCAGGCAGCGTTCGAAACGAATTGATTTGAGCCACTTGTCGGCCGGATGACGCCCAGTCGTAGATCAGCTAGGAAATTGCGGTTAGTAATGAAGCTACTAGCTTTCCGTTCTGGCCGTCTCTGCGATACTTAGTACCTTTCCTAACTAATAGCTAAGTTGCTAGATTTCTCAGCGCCACTATCGAAATTTGCCATGTATTTCTATTGCTTTGAGGAAAGTTATCGCTCGCAGTTATCATGCGGTACACCTAGCAATTATTGGATATATTACGTTGTAGAAACCATGACGCATCTCGAGACTATCAGAGGTTTTGTGCTTGTGGCCACTGAATGTCCGTTCGCAATTTACTTTGAACGATATCGGCAACAGTTATCGTCCGCTGTATTTAACCAGCCCTGATCGATGCACAGGCACGCTATCAAATCGATGATAAAATTTCTCGCATCAAACCTACGATGAGTCGCTTTACAAAGCTCGCCCTGACCAAATTTAGGGTGTTAGGCTGGTTTTCTACTGTGCTAGGAAACGAGTGCGCAAGAAGACCACATGTAGCGATTTCGATTGCGGAGCCGGAAATTTCTCGAGAGGCTGCGACCTCGCCGTAACACTTACGCAGCTTACATGCGAGATAAGATATAATCGTATCACATGTCGTATCGTCTCGCAAGGACGTACGATGATATAGCTGCTAACGGTGTCTACTTCTATTTTTTTCATTTAATAGCAGGTATTATGTTCGTAAAAGTGCAGTACAAGTAATAACTAAGCGATAAACCGGGGCCTGCTGCACTCTTGGGTCGATTAGCTGGCCGCATGACAGATGCGGCCTGTCTTCGCATTTGGCCTATCGATGAGACAGATCTTCACAGCTAAAAAGCGCGCTCCGATGACGACTGTGACAAGTGCTGCAGTGACGAGCCGCAGGCTCAGCCAGTGCGATCACAGAGAGCTCTGCTTTAAACTGTACTCACTCGAGACGTGGGCACTCCCAGCTCAATGTATATCTGCAAGTAGTCAACGGATAAAAATGATGAACCGAATCGATGCCAACGATAGAAAAATGACTCTCCGCGCTGGAGCTCAACTCGCGCTAGAGTTCTCCCTAATCGCGGCTAGCCTAGAGGACTAAATTTGATGCTAACTGGCTGGGGCACTAACAACACTCGTGCCTGTCTTCGGGTGCCATCAAGAATTGCCGAAGCGAAAGTATGTTTTCGTCATTCTTGGCCTTAAAGTGTATGTTAGTATTCTTTGTGGGGCGAACAGCTGAAGGACAAACTGGGTGTAAATCTGTCTGCTTTACGATATTATATATGTATATATGTTGTAATAAGTACAACATACGGCCAGTCCATTGTGCGTGCTCCACTTATTTTCCAACGCTACAATAAAACTATGACCTGTCGGGTGTTCGTTTGCCATTTGAGGACACAAAAGTATATAGCTTCCAGCTCCAACCGCAGAAGTAGCTGACTAAGCTATGGGTAGCAGGTACATAGTAATCGCTGGCATAGCGTCTAATATGATCATGATTGAGTCAACTGGAACCGCATTGGTAGAACTGTCTTGCCTGATATTGATTCTGCAACGACCGCATCTGACAGGACGGCGTCGAGTTGTTTGCGACGCCCACAGGCGGCCGACACACCGTCGACGCCATCAGCTACAGCTACGGGAAAATCAAAAAAGCAGCACCGAGCTGCTCGGTGTTTACCGGGTGGACGGACAGAGCACGTCGTACACAACGCTCACAATATGTCCGCCGTTATTTTACTGCCGTCACAACCACTATTATTTGTTTGCTCTTATTTTTGGTACTAGTGGGGTTCATCGAGAGCAGCTGGCGTTTGCACAAGGTGGCGACTGAAAAATGGGGTGCGGGTGTTTTTCAAAGCAGCGATGTGAAATGATGTTGGCTCTAGCCAGCAGCGGCAGCGGCACACCCGACCAACAATTGCCAAGCAGTGAACAGCGATACTTAAAATACACTGGTCGCATTGCTGCTATCTAAATGACCAAAGCAATGAGTGCTTTAAATGTACGGAGGGAAAGAAGAGTTTATCTCTAATTGGTCCGCAATGGCAAGGCTGTCATGTGCGTGCGTTTTAACTATGGCTATCTACAGGCTCACGACGCTGCAGGATGTTGGCAACGGTACCGGGACGTTAACGACCACGCCAGCAAACCGGAAGGGCACAGATCTTCTGGTTCATGCTTGCTGGTTTGCTTTGACAGGATACCGGCAGCAGCACTAGCATATCGCTCGAGTCGGAGGCTGAAACGTGAAACTGGAAATACGCAACCGCTATGGTCACAGTAATACGTGGAAACCACGCTTTCGTCGCGGTGTACCTACCCGTTCTTCTAACAACAACAGCAGCCGTCACAAAAGTGAGCTGCACGCTAGAACCGTTGTATTCTCCTTTCATCAGCTATAACTGAATGCCGAGCAAAGCTGTGTCCGTTGTACAGTTGGATGCCCGTACACATACAGGCATGCAGAATGGGACCCGTTTTAATCCATGGGCAATTACGTACGAACTCATAGTATAGCAATCACAAATATTACGTGACCACATATTATAGCAGATATCTGCGACGTCAAATTATGACGCCGTGAATGAACGTGGGACTAAAGCGCCATCTAGCAGATTTGCAATCATTATGATCGTTATCGACTTCGAAGTTTATGTAGACATATCTTTAGTGAAAGGTCTTTGGCCATATGAATATTTTGCTTACCGCAAATGGACAGCACAAGGTTCCATCAAACATAGCTACCCAATATATTTGGTCTGTCGCCAAGCGCCGCTCTATGGTGTACTAGGTGGTTGGATGATGTCGCGGCTAAGCAGGTACCCTTTGAGTCATGAGGTAATTTGAATAATTCGTTTAGTAATAAACAGTTATTTAAAAAGAACTCACTGTCTTCGCGCTGCATCAATTAAGACATTTATGATTCTAACACCTTTATCCGCATCGATATTTCTGATACGATCGGAAAAAACTGAGTCGTTTAATAACAAGAAAATCTTCTCTCATCTTTCAAGATGGAGTAACTCCTCCAAAGTTTGCGCTCGATTGGATACGATTGGCTACTAGTTTACTTTTTTCGTTTAACTTCTTGATGGAAGTTTCCACCTCAAACTCACCTTTTTACGTTTATCGAACTTGCTTTTGAGTTGATCCAACAGCTCCTTGACGGTCGGCTCCTCCTTAACGGGAAGTAGATATTGCCGCCAGTTGGCCGAGCTAAAACCCCAATGGCAGGTCCTAGTCTCGGCCCTGGCGCGATGCACGTGAGAGATGAAACGACGTGGTGATAGCATGCCCCGGCATTCTAGGCATCGTACACAGGGCGAATTCGGTCCGGAATAGATGTCCGTATAGAACAGCCCTTCACAGCCGCCGAAACACTCGTGGTAGACCTCGAGGGCCTCGCAGTTCTCGTCCTTCGGCCCGCCCTCAACAGGGGTGTGTAGCAAGGAGGCGCACAAGCGCTCTGCATCGCTTTTGCTGATAAGCCCGCACGATGGAATACGATACGGTAGTATTGACGCTTCTTTCAACTGCGCTAGCTGATCGTCCGTACAGCGTGAACAGTAGATCTGAAGATCGTCACAGACCGAGTTGATCTGAAGGAGCGTAAATCCGCGTAGAACCGTATTGAGTATCTGAGGCAAACACAGTCGGTCTTCACCGCCCACATTGAAACACGCAATGGTCTCACCTTCAAGCACGGTCGATGAGCGTTGTCCACTCGAACGGCGATCTTTCGGCAGCGGCAGAAGAAGCGGTGGCGGCTGTTGTATAGGAGGTCGGGACGGCGTCAGGGGGGATACCGACTCCTCTTTTTCGGAGGCAGTCTCTGTCGTCCATCTAACGCTGTTCGGGCCATGAAGGCTGGTCGTGGCCGCTGCCTGATAACTCTTGAGGACGCGTTTCAGATGGGGGGTGTAAGCATCCGTTTCGGTGCTACTTCGGGTCGATTCCACCCGTTGCTCTCGTACGACCGATAGCGGTCGGACGGAGGTGCAAGTAGCGGAAGAAGTTAGCGCGGGCGAACTCGCCGCCACTGTTGCTGCCGCAACAAGAACGGGTGTAGGAGCCGCGCACATGGCCGTGACTTATGTTTACGACGTCAATGACGAGGCTTGTGCCTAGTTTGTTTGGCCTTGCACGAACTCAACCGACTGATGGTAGTGCCTAAACGGCCTAAATCTCAAACGCTACCTGTCCGATTACTACGGGGCTCCCTCAGAACCTTGGTGAATAGGCGAAATAAGATAGGCATGTGAAGGTAGCACTGGAAGGTGCAACCAGCTTCGTCGATTTATTCTTCCTTCCTTCGTCTGTACTGCAGAGATGATTGGGACGTCTGGTTGATTTATCGATTTCGTCGTTGTTGTTGTTGGTGCACTTTTCGTGTTGACGGGAAAGAGCGATATCTGCCGTCGAAATGTAGATGACACATTCACTTGCTGTACGTAGAGAATCGACGGGTACTCCTACAACTGGTAGAACTTTACCTCGACACTGCCGAGGACAGAACAAGTTTGTCGCTCTGGGGGCAACAAGAACAGAGCACTTCGATACCACTGTAATTGTAGTAGTCGCATCACGAAACAAACGATTCCGGGGATCGGACTGCTAGTCACAGCAACACCACTTCAGTCAACGCTAAGCGATACGATCTTCCGTTTCACCGTGTATCTATATGATATTTCTTCTCTAGAAAAATTCCGTAACGCACGATTAGCAAAAATTAAATATACCAGTACGAGATCCCTGGAGCTGGCTTGCATTAACACAAATATATATATATATATATATATACATATATATATATATACGTAGTTTGTTTTTTATTGTTTGAAAAACACTAATAACTCCGACTCGGGCAGTAGTACTCCGAGATAAAAGAATACTCCTTACTTCAATACTACAATTCCTGTGATTGATAACTAGGCACGTTGTCGTAACGCTGTCTAACGGCATCCACTGGAAAGAGCACAGACTTCAGAACACACAAGAACACAATTTGGAGTTGTTGTTTCCTATATCCTCTTATAATAACAATTATTCTATATGGACATTTTTCTTTTAGCTTTTTCCGCTGTCGATATATACTCGATGTTTGTTTTCGTTCGGTATTCTTGCTTAATGTGTTTCATTTAAGTTTTCTTAAGATTTCCTCAGTAGTTTGTTCCGTGCTATCTTTTCCTTCAGTAGCTTTCGCTCTGCTAGTCACTATTTTTTAGAACAGTATCGATAACAGTAGCACTTGTAAACATCTACTTGTTCTCCTCGTCGCACCTTGTCCTGCTTGCCTTGCTCTGGATTGGCAGACCAGCCAGCTAGCGAGCTACTTTTATCGAATCGAGTTGCACTCTCGCTCCAAAAATACTCGTTCTATTCCAAAGCCAACATTTGGCGGAAATGGTAACTGGACTGGTGAACAGCTAGCTTGCTACTTAGGCAAAGATAGGGAAAGACGGACAATTGTTATCGCATTAGTGGCGATAGTGTCATGCCAGCACAGAATGGATACGGTCAAAGCAACAATAACCGACAGTACTCGCCAGACCCGCCACCATCGACTAGCACATTTTCAAGCGCTCTGCCTGTCTGTCTACGGCCTGTGTGTAGCGCCGTTCATTCGGTGCCTCCCGCCGCCGCCGCCGTCGTCATCGTCGTCGTCGTCGTCGTCGTCGTCATCGTCGTCGTCGTCGTCGTCATCGTCGTCGTCGCCGCCGCTGCTGCTGCTGCTTCTGGCTGGCGCTGCAGATTCCTGCTGCTGCCACTGGCGCTGCTGCTGCTTGCGCCACCGCCGTTCGCGCCGCCGCTGCCAGCAAAGCTCGTCACTGTCCGTGTCGCTCGCTGGCGGCGCTCGACACGAGTGCGGTTCGAAGCAATCGGGGAAAGGGGACGCCCTCTCCCACCCTCGCCCCAAATGACGAAGCGACGGCGCGGCGCCCGCAGACAGAGACGACAGCAACTATGATGACGACGACGACGACGACGACGACAATGACAACAACAACAACAACGACGACGACGACGACAACAGCGGCTAGTCGGCGGACCGGTTCACAAGGAACACACATATGCATTGAAGAGAGAAAGGGGAATCGGTCATAGGAAAAAAGGGGGACTCGAAGACACACGTTCAGACAGACAGCACACACGCAGACGCACATACATCGAGACACATAGAGATCGACACCACAAGCTTCACATACGCAGCCCTATACACTGACGTGCACATACGGCCAAAGCGAAAAAGACGAGCAGAAAGAGAAAGGGGGAGATAGACAGAGAGCATCAGCAGTCGGCCAGCTCCTACCGACGTGCTGCTGCTGCTGCTGACGGAGCATCATACCGGCGGCGGCAGCAGCAGCAGCAGCAGCAGCGGCGGCGGCGGCGGCGGCGGCAACAGCCAACAGCTGTAGATGCCATGGCGCTCTCTCTCCAGCAGTACTCCCGCTGGAGGCACACGCATATACACGGAGATAAATAGCACAGCCATACATATACACAAACAGACACTTAGAGATAGACGGCGACGCGCACACAACCAACCTCCCCCGCCTCCGCCCTTCCCCTGCATTAGGCTCTGCCGCTCGTCTGCTCCTCCGCGATCAGCCAGACGTCGGTGACGTCGACGGCGGCTGTGGCGCCAGCGACGACGACGACGACGATGATGATGATGATGGCGAGAAAGAGAGAACACGGCCATGTCTACATGGGTTTGTGAGCTGTGACTGGCTGCCTGTTTGGCTGTGTGTATCAGTGAGTCGACTGGGTCGGTCGTTCTCCCTTCCTACTTGTCTGCCCGCCGATGCGACTGGTGTCGTGCGATGTCAGGGATCCAGCAGCTTCTGCCGCGCCAGAGCGTCGGCTGGGGACATCAGCGCGCTGCGGGTGCGACGAGCTTGCGGCCATCGCTTGTATGTAGCGTCCGTCTGGCCCCGACACGACTCGATTAGACCATGCGCGCACACGTCCAAGCACAGTCATGGTCTGCACACATTTCTTTACACGGACACCTACTACAGATGCTCGTAGACCGGCGACGTCGCTCCTCGCGCCGCACTTTCCTCTTTCTTGTGCAAACGACGACGGCGACGACGAGGACGACGACGACGACGGTCACGAGCGACAGCCAGAAAAGAAGGAGATAGAGGTCACGCCGCTGCTGTTGCTTCTGTTGCTGCTCCTGCTGTCGCGGTCTAGTCTCGTGTCCGCAAGGCGGCGCTACCGGCGGCCCCATCAGTTTGAATGGCAGCAGACAGAAGCTGTCTCACACCCCTGCCCACTTTTTTCTCGTTCCCCTAATGTCCGTAGGGACCAGTTGGCGACTGCCGACGCGCTGTTGTAGCGGTCGTTAAGGGCCTAGAGATAGTGATGCGGCCATCACTGCCGCTGCTGCGGCACCGGACGAACAAAGTCGTCCCATGACAGGGACGGGCGAATAGGCAAGCCATGGATGGACAACCGAAAGGGACGAAATGCTATGGAAAGTGTATCGGATGCCGACTAACCATCCGCTGCGACGCGGCCATGAACAGGCCGATAACCACGGCTGGCGACGGTTATGGTGGCGGCGCTTGAGAACCGCGCGGAGGAGATGGAGACTACGGTAGCAGAACCACCGATATCAGACAGCAGCAGCAGCAGCAGTGCAGCCGCCGTTGCTGTGATCTGCTACGAGGCCCGCAGCGTGTGATGGCAGGGAGACTGCAGCTGCCGCTGGGGCCAGTTAGCAGAGGCCGCATTGCCCAGGTGGACAGAAGGACAGACAACAGGAAGCCCGTTTGCTCGTCGCAAGTGTGCGATGCTGACGGTCGCTGTAGTACAAAGCAGCGTAGAAAAACGCGTCAGAGAACGATAAAAAGGAAAGCTACATGGCTACGATATTTTAGGCGAGAAAAGGACTGGATTAGCTAGCGATTGGCGATGGATATAAAATAAAGATTGGATTAGAGATGATAGCGGTGGTACTAATTGGAAAAAGCGTTACGGAGGGAGCGCAAACAGGGCGCCTACATACAGCTCTGACTGAAGGGGCCATCACGCTATGTGAAGTGGTGGCAGCAGCAGCATTAAGGTGAGCCAAGGCACTGGAAATATATAAAAAAAAAAAAGAAGAGGCAAAAACATTGAATAGAAAAGAGACTCAGGGATTTTTTTTAACCGTCCGCACGCGTTTTTGCGTCGCCTAACGTGAACTACGAGTTCGACCCTATGCGCTGTATATTGTTATAATGGCAAAGACTTGAAGCGCAAATTAGCCGCGTCTGTTGCACTACGCACACAGTTCAGGCCCATACAGCGAGGAAGGGGTTGGATATTCGTGACAACTAATTAGGTAACGTATCTGCCTGCTAATCGTAGAGACATGTTGTGGTCTAGGTTCAAACCCGGGCTTAGACAGACGGTTCGTGTCGTGCTGAAAGCCAGCCGTCCGTTCGGTTGAATGTCCAATGGCGACACGGGACGTAAAATTCAAAAAACAGAGGAAGTTCGGACTAAAGTCTTTGAGAGAACAAGGGTAGCGGACGACACATACATAGCAGCATTGGCTTCTACGAAAGAACATCGTACAACTGTTAGGCATATTCGGTTCGTATCTGCAAGGACACTAGTGTATTTAAAGAAAGAGCACAATAACGTAATTACGATTCTGTTACTCAATATGCAGATTGTTTCAACAAAAGATAGATGAATAAATCTATAGATACTGTAAAATGATAAACAGAGTACGCTTGTGGCATCTTACAAGACAATTTATCGGGCGAGTCTTATTTATTTTGGTATTCTCGTCTCATAACCCTGATTTTTAATTATCTATTACACAATAAGAATAACAGCATTAAATGCAAAACCGCCATAACTGGTTTAATGCGGAACCGTCTACTTGGTGATTTTGTAGCTTCTAGGAGCTTTCTAAAAACAAAATCTTCTACTGAAAATTTCTAGGAACCATCGACGATTTGTTAAGAAAGCTATTATTTGATACAGAGCATTTGTAGTATAAATTATCACACCGGTTGATGCCAACCGGTAACTGGCTGTAGCAACAGACTGCTCTGACAGACAATACGCCATCTTTTACAGATCACGCATTCTAAACAAACAACAACAAATACTATAGCGTTACAACGAGTAACACTTAAAGCAATTGTTGTCCAGCCTAAAAGACTGTATGATCTTGGTTTTAGGTTTCATACCTGAGAATAGGCAAACACACGCAGGTTTCAATTAGTATTATTTTTACTCACAGTGAGTATGAATATATAGATAGATTCAAGACTACCATACATAGTAACTAAGCAAGCGTAAAATGTCCATGCGCAACGGGGCCAACATTCGTATTTAAAGTGAACGCCTAATTGTTGCCTGCTTGTTCATCATGATGTCCTTGAAAGTTACGAAATTTACGAAAAGTTGAGACACCAAGCGATAAATCCTGATAGATCCTTCGACACACCTACGACGGCCCTGTAAATCGATTCATCATATTCTTTCTATAAGGTTCACTAAAGGTTAGCCGATGGCTCAGTCACATATGACCTAGTTCGATTCCAAATTGGTTTTGTAAGACTCCGCGTGCCATTGCGTCGTAAGATTTCTACGGCTTCCCAAAAAACTCACTTCTCACAAAAACACACTTTAGCACAGAAACTATGTGATTATCATAATTACAGTCAATATTAATCAAACAATATGTTTCTAGCAATTTCGCGTTACGTCTGATAAATCGAAAAAAAACTTCCAAAAATAATAATGGAAAGACCTGCGCACTTACAAAGTTATTAATATTCATTGAAGGTTGCGAAACTAAGCGGTTTTAAATATAACATAATCCATAATTCCTGATCCTTTATTTTGTAATTAGCAAACAACATTTTACATAGCCGGCGTGTGGTGTTTTCATAATAGATTCTATTGAGTGGAGTTAATTGGTCTCTCGTGCGCCCATTTTATGTCAAAGTCTTTCCCTGTTTGCCCCAGCGGTTTGAAGCGCGGCAGCTCCGGGAAAATATTATATGTCTTTTAAACGGACAGTTACACGTGTACTTAGAAGAAAACCGCAAGTTCCTGCTCAGGTTCGAAGTTTTCCGCAAAGTTAAGCAGAACGATCGCAGGTGCGCTTTTGACTGAACGGTTTTGAATGCTCTAATGATATTTGTTTAATCAGATGATATCTTTAATATGATGGAATTGAATATTGGACGATTATTGCCTCATGTGGAAGATCTAAGGTTAGTAGGCCTTATTCTCACTTTTTGGTTAAAGTTTGATAGCCGATGTTAGCTAGGTGTTTTTGGGTACTCAACCCCGCCAGCAAGTAATTACATACTGATAGCGTATGTTGACTACACGAAACCTGTGATAATACCACCGCGATCCTTGCCAAAGTAGACAGATTATCACTGAAAACCTAAGGTACAGGTAAAATAAGGGGACTGAGTACAATCGTATCGCAGAGAAGTGATTTATTCTATCACAAAAAATTGCCGTTAGGTTGATCCTTTCTATCTAGGCCGTTATAAACAAGCGAAGCGATTCGCTGCAGCTTGGGCCGCTTACAAGGACAATCCTGTACGTATGCCTAACATAACATGAAAAAGAAATACTCTTTCAGGGCAAGATGATTTAGACAGCACCAGGTTACATGATTTTTGTGC